GCCCTACCCCCAGCCCCTTTATCCACCCACCCTGGAACTAGAGAGGCCAAAGCAGCAGTAGCCCCCACTGTCCTTGCCCAGCGAGCTGCCTAAGCTCAGAGACCCCTCGGGTTACCAGGGCAAGCTGTTCCCCACACGGCTTGGACAGATGCTGGGCTGACCTGACTGAAATCAGGAATTATGTGTCTGCTAACCTGGTGACCCAGAAGTGGGTTGTGTGTGACTCCCTCCCTCAGAGGACTGAGAACACTGTTCCTGAAGCCACACAGTGAGCAGTGCCCCCCTCATTTCCTCAAGAATGAGCCCAGATCATACCCCACAGCACCCTCCACTGTGGCCGCACTGGTAACTAGGCTCTGCCCTCAGCTGGCCCCTTTTTGGGTTCAGCAGGCTTGTGCAAAGTGAACTGGGGAGGCCTGACTGTGCAAATCCTCCAACCTGAGGCCACACACAGTGCTCTACCTGGTCTGTCTCACCATAGAGGACTTCGTCCTGAGTTTCAGGATACCCCCAAGCCCACACATAGGGTCCTGTGGCTTTGCTCAGGGATCTACCTCAGCCTGGGGGCAAGTTGCGGCCCACTGCCCAGCAGCCTCCTCCCCTGGCTGGAAAGGCAGGGAGGCCCCTAGGCATGAGGGAGATGCTGGGGGCCGGGGCAAGGCTGGAAGAGGAGGGGGCACAGCTTCAGGCCATGATGAAGGGTGACCTTGGCCAGCCATGCTGCCTGGTGTCCTGGTGGGGGCTGATACAGCCCATGGCGTGGCAGCCATGAACGATGGATTCCTCCGCCCCTGCCTGCATGAGGGTCCTCAGGATGCCAGGCCTCATGAATTATTTCTCTAAGGAAAATATAGTTGACTCCATTCCTCCTGCCCCACTTCCTGACCTTCCCAGTCCCCTAAATCAACACTGAAGGGTGCAGTCTGCCCGGGCCTTCACCCTCCACCCCCACCCCACCGTGGCCTCAGGGTGGGGGTAGGGCCCAGCTCCTCGTCTCCATCTCCAGGCCGACCAGCAAGGGAAGAGCCAGGCCCTACTCTGACCACAGTGGGGCCATGCTACAGAATGGGGTTCCAGATCCAGGGAAGCAGGCTGGAGGCGAGCAGCTGGGGGGTCAGAGGCCACAGGGCCGCGTGGTGTGAACAGGATCTGCAGAGCACTCCAACTGCTTTTAGGCTGCTCCCCAGATCTCTAGGGTCACCCTCTCTACTTAGCATTAGACTTACCTATCTGACCCACTCAGACACACGCAAACATACACTTACACTGAGACCCACTCAGACACACCCGCATACCTAGACACACTCAGTCATTCCAAGTCATAGCCAGACACACACCAAGACACCCCCAGGCCCACCGACTCCAACACACAGCCCCCAAACCCAGACACTTAGACATATACACTCAGACACACCCACACACCAAGGTACACCGGCCCTACTTAATCTCATGCTCAGAGACCCACTTGCAGTCAAGCACACTCACATTCACAACACAGCCACAGACATGCCCACACTGAGACACACTCAAGCACAAACACACTGAGACCAATCTAGACATATCCAAACACACACTCACACTAAGGCAACCAACTCAGATACCTGGACACACACCAAGACACCCAGACCCATCCAGACATACCTGGGCACATCCAAACACATCCAGAACCTATGTACACACACACACACACACACACACACACACACACACACACAATTTAGCCACAAATACACAACACAGTCACACTCGGAAATATCCATCCAGATACAATTAGTTACCCAGGCGCTCTCTCTCTCTCTCTCTCTCTCTCTCTCTCTCTCTCTCTCTCTCACACACACACACACACACCAACACAAACACATCTACTCACATACCTACACACACAAGCACCCACTCCAATACATACACTCAGACATACCTAGACATATTCAGACACCAATACCCAGACCCACTCAGACAAGTTAGACCCACTTACACTGACACACTCAGAAACACACTGACATGCCCACACACCTAGATACACTGACACACCCAATGCACTTAGACCCCCCCACTCACCCAACCCAGACAATCCACATCCACCACACATCCAGATATACCTAAACAGACAAACATCCACACCTACTCACCCAGACAGACCTAGCGTGCTCAAATGCACACTGACACACCCAAAGCCACTTAGCTATTCCCACACACTGAGACACCCACACCTGCTCAGATACCCCCCATCCTCAGACACACTTAAACATACACCAAGCCCACTCAGATACACCTAAACACATGTACTCACACTCAGCCACTCACACTCAGCCACAGACACAACCAGAACCACTCAGGCACTTTGACACACTTATACTAACCCCATTGATACACATACTAAAATACCCAGACACACTCACACATATCTATACACACAAGCACATGTATACATATACACACACATATATACACACACATACACATACACAGAGACACACAGACACACACTCACTCGAGACATATAGACAGTGACATGTAGATACACAAACTCTCACACGTGCTCAGGGGAGTTCCCTGTGGTCCCAGCTGGTTTGCTCTGATCAGAGCTGGCTTCGTCCCCTACATCTGAGCAGCCTGGACGCACATCTCAGAGTACCCCCAACCCACACCCTGTAGCATCTGGGTCTGCCCCTGCCAGCAGCTGCTGCCCTCCTGCCCCAGGCTGTTCTTAGGTATCTGCTGTCTTCTCCACTCTATCTGTATCTTGTTGTCCAGACCACCAGTCATGGCGCCCAGGCCAGCTTGCTGTCTCTGCCATCTGTCCTTCTCTAGGTGCCAACCCAGAGCCCAGACACATGTATGTCTCCAGCCTTCCAGGCTCGGCCTCCACCCTTAAGGCACACACCACCCTATTCACTAGCACCCCTGGGACTTGCTTTGCTATGATGGCCCCAACAGAGGGCTATGGCTGCTCCTTCACAATTTAATCCAATCTATTTTGTCACCAGAAGCATCATCTTTTTTTTTTTTTTCTCACGTTTTTTGACACAGCGTCTGTGTAGTCCCAGGCTGATCTTGAACCATGTAGTACAGGCCAGGCTCAAACTCTGAGAAATCCTCCTGCCTCAGCCTTCCAAGTGCTGTGATTACAGACATGTGCCACCATGCCTGGCTCAAATACATCATCTTATAGCCAGTCACCAGGAACCAGAGATGGCTCTTGCCCACGGACGCAAGGCTGGGCCCTTTGCCTCATGTCCCACAAAAATGGACAAGATGGGGCCAGGGAGGTAGCTCAGTAGAATAAGTGCTTGCCTGGCAAGCGCAAGGGTCTAAATTCAACCCCTGGTTCTGCAAAAAAAAAAAAAAAA